AGGGAGGAGGTGATGAGCTCATCTAGACCACAGGCAAAAACAACTTGGTCAGGATGCTTTCACTTGAGTTTTTCTTCCCGAGCAGTGAATAAGCAGGGTGCAGATGAGATGAGCATGTGGGCGGGTGGGTGGGTATCCAAAGCTCGTGGTCCTGGCGGCCTGCGTGGAACAGGATGCCTGCCCAGAAGGGGAGAGAATGGAGTTGTGGCCCGGCTGTGCTTTATACCCCCAGCCCAGTCAGCACTCGGAACCACCTCTGCTGCCACGTCATACGTAACCCGTGCACTGACAACACCGTGTCTCTCGTGCTCCTCCCACAATTCCAGATTCATTCACCCAACTGCCTACCTGCCGGCTGCACTTGGGCATCTAAAGGCACCTTGGATTTAATATCTCCAAAACCAAGCACCAGCATACTCTCCCCCGCGACCCCCAACACGCGCAACCGTGGTCGGCCCATCTTCCCGGTGGCCCAGGCCAAAAACCCTGGAGCCATTCTTGATGCTTGGCTCACATGTCATGCGTGCTCCGTTAACAACTCTGCTCTACCTTCAAAGTAAATCCAGAAGCCAGCTCCTTTCCACCACCCCCACTATTGTGCTGTCTATGGATGAGGTCTTCCTGGCCACACCTGTTTAAGTCGCTGCCCCCAGCTACGAGCTCCCTCCTTTGCCCTTGTCTTTTCCTCTATGGCTCTCACTGCCGTCAACGTGCAACGTGTCTTACTTATCTTGTTTATTAATTATTAAGCTCCACAAGGACGAGGACTTTTGCCTTTTGTGGCTTCAGTGCCTGGAACAGAGCCTGGCATGTGGTTTGCATTCCAGTAATTGCTGAGTGAATGAGTTCGTGAGTGTATGAATACCACACAGTAATTTTACTGCTAAGCAAGCCAGGTCACCCAAACATCTGGGTTCTGAGCCTTGAAATTCTTGCTGTGCCAACACCAGGACCATCTTACCTTGTCCGTGCCCTCAGGGCCTGGGCATTTCTGGTTATGCTCAGTCAGGGATCCTGAAGTATAAGCCTGGCAATGGCCTTCCCCAAGAGGGCTGCCCCAGAGCAGTGGTATCTGGGGGGAAGGGCCATAGATGCTGAAGTCCAGGTCAGTCAGGGCCCCAGGGCACTGTGAGGTCTGCTTTCCCCTCCAATTGGCTCGGGCTGTCTGGTGGAGCTGCCCTGGGCATAGCACTGGGGGGAGAGAGGGGAACTTCTGTCCTCTGAGGGCTCTCCCGGGAAAAGCAGTGAGTGAGTGAGTAGATGAAGGAGATTTGCAGAAGCAGAATTGCCCTGAAGAACTAGTCTCCTTCCGGGTCTTCCTTCAACACCGGGGACAGTTGCTCGTGACCCAGCTATTACTGTTATTCACCATCACTCTGCATGCCTGTTAGGATACTTCAGAGACACGGCAGGGCCGGTCCTCTCTGAAGAAGGCTGGGAGACAGCTGGCTTGGGGTTCAGGCAGGCTTGGCAATAGCTATCCCGGTGCGTTTAGAGGGCTCAGGGAGGAGCAGCAGGGCACCCAGATCCCGACCTCCCAACCCCCAGTGACCAGGATCTGGAGGGGTGACTGGGGGGGGCCTCAGCTTTCTGGACCCGCAGTGGGACAGGCATGTTGTTCTCACACTGAGAACTGTGTTGAGAGGCGGCGCCCCTGCCCTGAGCTAGGGGTGCTGGGAATCGGAAGAGGGAAGCGAAGTCAACCAGCCTTGCATTTTCCGGCTTCCCTGCCTCAGCTCGTGCTCTTCCCTTTCCGTGCCTCCCTGACTCTGTCCCTGACCTCGAGCTCCTTCCATGAAGCCTTTTCTGACCATTCTCACTTCCACACCGAGGCTGTATGCTCATTCATTCATTCATTTACTCACCCAACCTCTGACCTGTCTGTCTGGAGCTTCTATCATCCATTTGTCTACTCATTCAGCAGATAAGTGTTGGGTATCTGTCCTGTGCCCGGTACTGCTCTAGGCACTAGTGAACAAGAAAGCAAACCCCTGCCACGTGGTGCTTAACAGTTTGGCCGGGGAGACAAAGACTTGGCTACATTAATAAGTATGTAGCGTAAGCCCAGGTAGCACTATGTCCCTGGAGAAAAGCAAAGCAGCGGGAACATGAAATGGATGGTCAAGACCTCTAAGAAGGTGAGGAATGATCAGGAACCCAAGCCAAGCGAAGGAGAAAATCACACGAAATCCAATGGAAGAACAAGTGCAAACATCCTGTAGCAAGAGCTTACTTAGTGTGTTTGCAAAACAAGGAAGTCGCAGTAACTAGAGCTGGGATAGGGGGTGACGGGGTGAGTTTGGACAGGTTGGCAGGGGCCAGGAGGAAGAGGGCCCTGGAGGCAAGGTTTTATTCCACATGTGATGGGAAGCAGAGGAATAATGGGATCGGATTTGCATTTGTTTATTTGCTTATGTACTTTTTTTGGCCTTCTGATGCACATTCGGTTAATAATTCTTGCTTCATGGGGCGCCTGGGTGGCTCAGTTGGTTAAGCGACTGCCTTCGGCTCAGGTCATGATCCTGGAGTCCCGGGATCGGGTCCCGCATCGGGCTCCCTGCTCGGCAGGGAGTCTGCTTCTCCCTCTGACCCTCCCCCCTCTCATGCTGTCTCTCATTCTCTCTCTCTCAAATAAATAAAAAGTCTTTAAAAAAAAATTCTTGCTTCATGATACTCTCACCATTGGTCCATGCGTGGTCCTTTTTGTGTATTATTTACATACATATGCATGTATTTTGGTGCAGTAAGGACCCATGAACCTACCATCCCAATGGGAAAACTAGCACATGATGGTAAGAATTTGATGTTTAAGAGATCACTCTGGCTGCTGTGTGAACAGACTGTAGGAGGTAAGAATGGACACTGGGAGGCCAGTGAGGAGGTGAGAGAGTAACAGGAAGGGCAGACTGGGGTGATCGCAGCAGAGCGGGAGAAGTTGAGTTTGGGATGCATTCTGTAGGAAGAGCCCCGGGACAGACTATTGGATCGGGTGTGGGGTGGATTCTACTAACCCATGCATTCAAGAAGTAAGTCACAAATTATTCATTCAGTGCTTGCTGGTAACTTCTTACGATATGATAAGTCATTTACAAAACATACATTCCACATGGTCCCTGCCCTGCTCACAGTGTAGAGGCAGAGATAAATAAACACACTTAAAACACTTTGGAATAAGTGCTGTGACCCAGGAAACCCAGGGAAGGGAGAGAAAAGGATGGTTAATTATGACTTGCACAAAGGTGCTCAGTTACTGTCCCTTCTCATGACTTGATCTGAGCAACTGATTAAATTCTTTAGTTGCGTATGTATTTATATTTTTTTGCTTTAAAATTATTTTTATCATATTTTTAAAAATGTCTAAGTTTCAGAGCATAGACACTACTTCAAATACCAGTCAAAGGCTGTCCTCGATTAACCTTCCAAAGCTCAAACTCTCAGATAGTTAAAAACATGAAAGAGAATAGGGGCGCCTGGGTGGCTCAGTTGGTTAAGTGACTGCCTTCGGCTCAGGTCATGATCCCGGAGTCTCTGGATCGAGTCCCGCATCGGGCTCCCTGCTCGGCAGGGAGTCTGCTTTGCCCTCTGACCCTACCCCCTCTCATGTGTTCTCTCTCATTCTCTCTCTCTCAAAATAAATAAATAAAATCTTTAAAAAAAAAAAAAAACATGAAAGAGAATAGGAAATTAAGGGGGAAACATGCCCTTTCTCTCAAATAGATATGTATTTGGAAAGGGTACACCAAGGACCAAATGACACCACCAAGGACAGGGGTCTAGTCTGGGAATCCCAAGTTCTGGATTCTAGTATTGCTGTTTGGTCCTGGGCACATAGTTTCTCTTTCAAGGAAGGGGGAGTGGCCAGAATACACGTAGGACAGCAGAAGAGGCTTATGGGGGAGGTGGCAGCGATGGTCAGGGCAGATGCCATCCAGCATTCCAAAAATTATGTAACAACAGAATATTATTTAGTCTTAAAAAAGAAAGAAATCCTGACAGGCTGCAACAGGGATGAACCTTGAAAATATGCCAAATGGAATAAGCCAGGCACAAAAGGACAAATACTGTACGGTTCCTCACATATGAGGAACCTGGAGCAGTCAATTCATAGACGCACAAGGTAGAATGGTGGTGACCCAGGACTGGGGAAGGGGAATGGGGAGTTAGTTCTAATGGGCACAAAGTCTCAGTTTAGGAAGATGAAAATGTTCTGGAGCTGGATGGTCACGATGCTTGAACCACAATGTGAGCATACTTAAGGCCACTCCATCGTACACTTAGAAATGGGTAAAAGGGTGCATTTTATGTACTATATATTGTACCACAATCGAAAGAATATACAAAATCCTCATTTTTCCAAGATCCATCTGCATGGAGGGAAATTCCCACCTGGCTGACCAAGGTTCCCCGGGTTTCTAGCTCTTCCGCACTCTAGGACATGGCTCCTGCTGGACAGGAAGGGTAGAAGTAGGGCTAGCAGCAGAGCTTCGGGCAGCAAAGAGCAGGTGGCTGGGATTTGGGGACAGATGTGCAAGATCCCCAAATTTGCATTCAGTCTGGCTTCCGTGAGGAGGCCCCCCTGGTGGTAGGAAACTTGTGCCCTTTGTCCTCATCCTTTTTCTTCTTTTTAAAAAAATTTTTTTTTAATTTATTTTAGTGAGAAAGAGAGAAGACGCATGAGCAGGGAAGGAGCAGAGGGAGAGGGAGTTCATCTCAGCCGACTCCACGCTGAGCGCAGAGCCCAATGTGGGGCTCAATCCCAGAACCCTGAGGTCATGACCTGAGCCAAAACCAAGAGTTGGACACTTAACCAACTGCACCACCCAGCAACCCCTCCCCCTCCCCGTCCTTCTACTTCTTCTGGGGGCACAGAACAAAGGGCCTGAGGGGGTAGGGATGGGGGTGAGGCAGGTTTGATCACCCTTGAGAGCTGAGGTGGCTGTGAGCAATTCATGAGGACAGGCCCAGGGCCCTCATAAGAAGGCTTCAAGCCACACCGACTTTGAATGTTTTATTGACCCAGGCCTGGAGGGCTACAGGATGGGTTCCAAGCAGGGACTAGGTGCAGGAAAGGAGGCCCAGCCAGCTTTCAGTCAAGGCCAGGAGGATGCAGACATGGTCTTCAGCTGCTCTTTACCTTGTCTCTGTAACAGAGATGACAGTCCGTTTCCTTCCTGGCTGGCATATAGGGGGCCTCGGGCCAGAGCCATCAGCTAGACTCCTTACCGACCCCCTTCAACAGCCACCATACCGGAGGCCTCCTCACCTCACCCACCTTGATCACTGCCACCAACACCTTCCTTGCTCCTGTCAACACCATCGCCCCCGGTGAAGGTTACACTGCTAACTTCCCCTTGGCCAGCACCACCACCTACAGAAAAGCCTCACTACTCACCAGTACTGCTTTCATCTTCACCATCGAAACCACCATCAACCACAGCCTCGCTGCCTCCACCCCAGCACCCCCATTACCAAACACACTGGCACCTCTTGGTGGCACATCTGATTTTTCCCGTCCCCATCGCCTCTCACAGTAATATCATGGCATGACCCCACCACCATCCTCCACCACGCTGTCTCCCTTCCCACGACCACCACCACCCGATCGCCAGCGTTGCTTCTCCTGTTTCTGTAAGAGGACTCACCAGCGTGCTTGCAGATCCTCAAACAGATCTCCGTGGTCTCAAGATTGTTGTCAGCGCCCTGACAGCCACCGTAGGCGAAGTGCTCACACTCACTGGACATGTTGTCGTAGAAGTACCAGTAGAAGAGGCCTCTGCAGGGGCCCCTCGCTGGAGGGAGCTGACACGTGGCAGGCAGAGTTTGGGACAGCTCCCGGGGGCCTCTTGCTTGAGATGGGCTGTAGGTGTGAGGAAGGACAGGTATTGTCACTTCAGTGTCCTTTTTTTTTTTTTTTAAGATTTTCTTTATTTATTTGACAGAGAGAGACACAGCGAGGGAGGGGACACAAGCAGGGGGAGTGGGAGAGGGAGAAGCAGGCCTCCCGCGGAGCAGGGAGCCCGATGCGGGGCTCGATCCCAAGACCTGAGCCAAAGGCAGACGCTTAACGACTGAGCCACCCAGGCGCCCCACTTCGGTGTCCTTTTAAACAACTGATAATTTTTTTGTTGTTGTTAGAAGCACATCTTCTACACCAAGCGCCCTAGTGGGTGCTTGCCATTTTTTGCATGATTTAAATGACCTTATGGAGTAGATATTACTGTCCCTCCCCCACAAATGAAGAAACAGGTTCAGAGAGGTTTGGTCACCTTCCCAAAATCATAAAACCTGTCAGTTGAGGCATGGGGTTTAAACCCAGTTACAATTTCAAATCCCAGGCTCGGCATGCTACAGCTTCTCATAACTTGACTCAAGGTATTTGAGATAGCTTTGTTTATAATTGCAAAAAAACACATAATTTGGAAAAATATCAATGTTCACCAACAGTGGGGATTGATAGGTTATATGCAGTCATTGATAAGCATAGTGCTGATCTATATGCATCAACATGGAGAGAGGTTCATAATTTTGTGGAACAAAAATCAAATTTCAAAAGACAATATCTAGAATGCTCCTGTTGATGTAAAGTATACCTATAAACCCATGTAGTGATGACTAGAAGGTTGTTCACCACTGTATTTGTAGTAATTTTCCTGGGTGGTGGAATTTCAAGTGATTTTTATCTTCTAATTACTTTTAGTGTCATTTAAGTGGCAATGAACAAGTATCATTTTTTATAACTAGGAAAAAGATTTACACTAAATAATCTTCAGTATCCATGAATAATGAAAAAATAAAGAAATGGATGTATTTTACTTATTATTTTAAATCCTTTCACATCTGGCTCTGGTTATCACATCAAGTGATTTATCCAACATGTGTGTGTACACACACACACACACACACACACACACACCCTCACCCACTAACTGGCCATGGATCCCAATGTATCTTTTCATGGGATACAATACACCCTGCTTTGATATGTACACTCCCTGACAAAAGATAGCAGCCCTCAGACAATGAGTTCATGGGTCATCTCTGCTCCATAGTACCATTTTGGGAATCCTCAATTGATATGACATGCTGCATATCCTGGGAGAACCCTAAACTAGAATGAGGAAGAAACCATTCTAGGAAGGGAATTCAAGGTCTTTCATTAGGGCAGCAAGTCTCAATCTTGGTGGAACATTAGAGTCCTCTTGGGGAACTTGAAAGAAATCCCAATGACCAGGCTTTACCCAAGACTAATTAAATCAGAATCTGGGAGTGTGGGACCCAGGTAGCCCCCAGCTGACTCCAGAGTGCAGCCAAGTTTCAGAACCTGATCTCCTTTTCAAAGCAGTATGAAAATTTATTTTCTTTCATAAGGATCCTGGGAGTAGGATTCTGGAAAGAAGGATTATTTGGGGGGTGGGGGAAGAAGGATTATTTGGGCTCTGTAAAATAGGGGACCCACTTTTTAAATTCACACATTTCCATATCGTTTGTCTTTTTAAGACCAACACATGTATTGCTTTGTAATAAAAATTAAATTTGGTGCGGACTGAATTCAATCAAATAGACATCTGTGAGGTCTGGCCCCAGAGAGATGAGCCTCTTCCCAAGCCTAAGCCCTGGTTTCTTCCTGAGGTGGAAGTGACCAGGTGGCCCTGTGGAGCCAGCCCCCCACCCTATTGCTCCCCCTCCCCCAAAAACAGGCTGTGGTCTCAGGGATCCTCTTTTTTAAGCTCTTCGCTCACCTGAGCTGGCAATGCCAACCAGGCAGAGGGGGACGCAGAGGACAAGGAACGGGCTGAACTTCATGATGCCAGTAGCCGAATGTTCCAGGCTGGGGCTGGAGGCTAAAGTGATACCTGCAGCTGAAGCAGAAGGGCCCTATTCCTCTGAGTGGAGGGAAGTATCTGGCTTTTCATTACCTGGAAGAGGAAGCACCCTGGGCAAGGAGTGTGGTCCCAGAGGAAGTGAATGTCTACCTGGAGGCACGACCGCTTGCGTTGGAGGGCTTCTTGGAGGCTATTGGGCAAGTGCCCTAAGTCAGTGTTTCTGCAGCATCTGGAATGCCAGTCCCCAGCCTCATCTACTGCAGACTTGAGTTCCTGTGACCTTGGACTGGTAAATGACTTTTTGGGGACTCAGTTTCCCTATCTGTAAAATAAGTGGTCTGGACAACACGGTCCCTAAGAAACCAGCTTAGCTGTTTTCCATTCTATTATTACTGGTTCCCATCCAGATCCTCCCAGCTAGGGGTGTCTCAACATCACAGGAGAGAAAACATAGCTCTTTGTTCATTGCTTTATTTATTTAATTTAGGAACAATGAGTTTATTGTTTTATATAAATTATCATACTTATTTTTAAAAGATCAAGCTATATTGAATAGTAAAAAGAAGCAAATCCCTCCCCAAATTCTACTATAGTTCTGTGCAACAGAAATATAATGAAATATATTACAGTATAATTTTCTAGTATCTGCATTTAAAAAAGTAAAAAGAAAGGTAAGACTAGTTTTTTAAAAAAGATTTATTTATTTTAGAGAGAGAGAGTGTGTTGGGGGAGGGGCAGAGGGAGAGAGAGAGAGAGAGAATTTCAAGCAGACTCCCTGCTGAGCACAGAACCCAACGTGGGGCTTGATCTCACGACCCTGAGGTCACAACCTGAGCTGAAATCAAAAGTCAGACACTCAACCAACTGAACCACCCAGGCACCCCAAGACTAGTTTTAATAATAGTTAATTTAACTCAATATATCCAAAATATTGCCATTTCAACATACGATGAACATGTAATAAAAATGTTAATGCAATATTTTACTTTTCTTTGTACTAAGCTTTTGAAATCTGGTGTGTATTTCACATTTGTGGCACATCATGATTCATACTAGCCGTATGTTGCATGCTCAGCAGTCATATGTGGCTAGTGACTACCATATTGGACAGTGAACTTCCACCACATAAAGTAATTATTAGTAACTATTAGACTTTGCAGGTATTATTTTCTGAGAATTTTTGCATATTGCCTTAATACTTGAAAGACAATTTGATAGGGTAAAAAATCCTGGGTCATATTTTCTTTTCCCAGAACTTGGGACCTGGGCAGACCTGGCTCCACTGAATTCTGCCATGGAGCATTGCTAAGAAGTAGCCTGAAAGTTTTTCTTCCTTAGGGGTTACTTTTTTCCTACCTGAATGCCTAAAGACTTCTTTGCTTCTCTTGGAGATCCAGTAACTTAACAGGGTTATTTTGGTATCATTCTGCATCTTTTTAAAGAAGGTTTTATTTATTTATTTGTCAGAGAGAGAGAGAGAGAGAAAGCAAGCCTAAGCAGGGGGAGAGGCAGGCAGAGGGAGAAGCAGGCTCCCCACTGAGCAAGGAGCCCAATGCGGGACTTGATCCCAGGACCCTGGAATCATGACCTGAGCCAAAGACAGACGCTTAACCCACTGAGCCACCCAGGCGTCCCTGCATCTTTTTTTTTTTTTTTAATGGGACATGAAGTGCTAAAAATCTACAGATTTTAAAAAAGATTTTATTTATTTATCTGAGAGAGAGAGAGGAAGAGCATGAGGTTGGGGGGAGGAGCAGAGGGAGAGAGACAAGTATACTCCATGCTGAGCGTGGAGCCTGATGCGAGGCTCGATCTCACAACCCTGAGATCAGGACCTGAGCCGAAATTAAGTCGGCCGCTCAACAGACTGACCACACAGATTTTTTTGGAGGGGGGGCGGATTTTCTTATATTATGCTTTGAATAAATTTTCTGTCCCAATTGGTGAGTTTTCTACTTAAGAGGCATAAATTATGTCAGATTATCTTCACTTGTCCTCTAGTACTTGTCAAAAGTATGGCCACTGGAGACAGACAAATTTAAACGTCAGCTTTTCCACTCACATTCTGTGCTACTTCTGCCAATCTCTTTAACCTCTCTAGACTATAGTTTCTATTTGGAGATAACAATGGAAACTCCCTGTGTTTGGAGTCCCCAAGACCATGCTCAGGCTCAACTCATGAAAAGGACACATGGGACTCAGAAATTGTTATACATAAGTTTACAGCAAATGGATACAGATTAAAATCAACAAAGGAGAAAAGCATAGGGTGTGAAGAATGGAGGAAACCAGGCACAAGCTTCCCTCCCTCAGTCCAGTTATACAGGATGTGTTTCATTCCCCCAGGGCAACACTTTTGAAGTGTTGCCCATCAGGGAAGCTCGCCGAAGACCAAGTGCCTAGGGTTTTTATTGTGGTCAGTCACATGGGCATTTAACCAACTTAGCCTAGCACAGGAATCTTGGATTTAGGTGGTGAGCACTCTGACAGCTCTAAGGTGCTTGATCCATGCCTACCAATTTTGCAGCTTTGGCTTCGGAGATTCCCATCTGCAACTGATCTGTTATTCCTTGCACAAGAAGATTTCTTTAAAGTGGAAGATGCCCTAATGGCTTTTAATGACTTGTGCTTACTTAGAATTTGATGTGCCATTGGTCAGAGCAGTCAGAATTTCTTATCTTAATATATTAACCCAAGTCCCCCAGTAGTTTATGCTGTGGACTTACCTCAAGGCTTTGTGAATTCCCTAATGGCTGCTACCCATTGTGGACTGTCAATATAACTGTCCTGTAACCTTTCCAGGATCCCGCACCTTTCTGGGAACAATATCTACATGTGCATATGTGTATACTGTTTGGACCAGAGAGCTGCATACAAGGGAGTAGAGCTCAAATCCGAGAGTGACATACCCATGGTCCTCAGCAACCATGAGAGGAACAGTGAGCCCAGAGTGTTCAGTGGGTGTCTTGCCTGGGTGTCTTGTTGTACCACAGGCTGTTAGCAGCCAGCTTTGGATCACTTCCTCATACCCAAAACTAATAAAAATGATTAAAGACAATTTGGTGATACAAAATAATTTTATTTAACACTTCATGAAGTGGGCAGTCTCCATCCCTAAGGATCTAGAGAACTGCAAAGTGGGGCAGAAGGCAGGAAGTTTTTACAGGATAAAGAATGAGGAATAGGAAAAGAAAGAAAATGAGTAAGGAGCAAGGAAATAAGTATAGAGCCCCATAACTGGGTTGGCCTCTGGGGATTGCTGACTGGCTATACTGTGTTTCTGGTCAAGCAGAGCATTTGCAGGAACATGAAAGTTTAAGTTTTGGTTTGCTGACATGGGGCCTTGGACAGGAGTGGCTCCATCCTGGGCCAAGAAATTTATTCCAACTCAGGCCTGAGATAAGATCCAAACTTTCCAACTGGGAGTTGGGTGTGATAATGACGATCATAATCAGAACCTTGAATTATTGAGCATTTACTACCCAAGGGCACAGAGCTGAGCATCTACTTCCATTAATCTCAAATACCCTCAGGACAACCCTTAGAAATGGGGGGGGTTGATTTTATAAACAACACCATTTTACAGATGAGGGCACCAAGGCCCAGAAACTTTAAGTAATTTGCCAAACTCAGGTCCTCCTGCCTGTGAAACATGTAGTTGAAGTGATTCAGGATAAGGTCCCCCAAAATGTGCCACTTTGGCATGCCACCCACTATTCCTTAGCCCAGGAGGGCCTACAGACCTCATTTTACCTCTCTGTCTTTGAAACTGTCATGTCTGTGGTGCTCCCATATGTAGAGAATTAAATTTGATTTTCTCTCTTTTTTTTTTTTTTGCTATTTAAAATTATATTTACTTTATTCTTTTTTTTATTTTGTTAGTCACCATACAATACATCATTAGTTTTTGATGTAGTGTTCCATGATTCATTGTTTGTGTGTAACACCCAGTGCTCCATGCTATATGAGCCCTCGGTTTAAGCTGTCTCATGTCAATTTCTAAGACTAGCCAGAAGAGTCATTAAAGGGTAAGGTAAAATTTCTCCTCCCCAACACCACCTTGCTAGTGCTCTGTACTTCCAGTTCCATTTGCTTCCAGCATGAGATAGGAAATAAGGTGTTTCCTTTCCCAAGGGTATTTGCAACTTGTTATCAGGTCCTGATGATCCAATCACAATCAGACTAGAGGGTCTCTCTGTAGTATCTGGCTGGGGGCAACTTTGTAATGTGGAGCCTCATTACCTCGTGCACATAGCATGGTATGGTGCCAGGGCATTGAAATCTGCTCAATTGCTTAATCCTCTGAGGGAGATGGGGTCGAGTGGACTCATTTGTTTTTGCAAAGAAGTCAAGTGATTTGTACTGGTCACATGGTAAACATTGTGACTGTTCCAAAGAAGCTAGGTAGAGGTGGAGGTTGAGGCAGGGAGGTAGATTAATGGGAGAGAATTTGGGGTTCTATAAGACTCACCTCTTCATGATCTTGTCTCCTCTGCCACTTTTCCAAGATATGTGGGAGAGACAGCTTTTCTCTCTGCCTGCTCCCCCTTCTCTCACCCTGATGAGGTCTCCTCCAGGCTTGCTACTCACAGTATGGTTCTGAGGACCATTTCAGAGGGGAGAAACTGGAGCTGGGGACACCCTGTAGCAGGGAGCCTGTAAGAAATGCAGCTTCTCCTTCTCAGCCTCACCCCAGACCTGCTGAAAGGAATCTGCATTTCAACAAGATCCCCAGGTGATTCACAGGTGTGATAAAGTTTGAGAAGGCTATTACTGAGCATTTTGGCCCCTGCAGGCAGAAGCCTGGGGAGGTGCGGAAGTTATGCCATGAACAGGACAGACCCCAGCTCCTCCCCTTCTTTATTCCTCTCCCTCCCCATCGGCTGTCCCCACCCCTCTGCTGGGATGTGAAAAGCTTGGTCAGACCCTCGGGTTCCATAGGAGCCCTTCTGAAGGCTTTGAAGATGAGTCCCCTCTGCCTCTCTGCAGTCCTTCTCCCCTCCTGAGCACCCTGGTAGCTAGCACCCCAGGGGATGAAACCAGTACCTCTTCCTCAAGTA